GGTGTTCACTTGATTTAGGTAAGTATGGGACCTGATGCGGGCAACAGATGATATAAATAAGCCCATTGTTGGTTCTTGTGGATGAAGGAAAATATAATACGTGTTGGGGGGAAGAGATAAGAAAGGAGGGAAGGAAAAGATAAGGAAGGGAGAGAAAGAAAGGAATGGAGAAGAGATAATCCTTCAAGATAATCCTATAGAAGAGATAATCCTAGATAAGAGACAATTATTACACTGATGAATAACGTAATGCGGTCATGAGGTACAAATCTTTACAAGGTGGAACATATCAAATTCGAGCCCTTGTCGTGAAGTTAAGACCCGCTACCACTAAACCACAATGGAATCTTTTATCAATTTAGGTTAAAGTTTGGTAGATTCTCTTCTTTGAACTCTTGTTGGACTCGACTCCCCGTGCAGTTGTTATCAAAGCTGAACGAAAACGCGACATTCACTTAAAACTCAAAGCAATGTGATAAGGCAGCTAGAGAAGAATATTTTCCATGAGTGAATAATAACCTTTCAGAATGGTTCAATGGACAGTGGATGTATACAGTAAAACCTCTGGATGCGGGTTCGAAGCCACTGAGTTACAAACTGCATCCATAAAAAATTGCACTTGTTGTGACATGTATTTGCTCATGTTAAATTGAGCGAAAAGTCCAGAAGATTTCATTCACCGGAAATGTATAATGCATAAAGTTGATGTAATCTCGTCCCCACAATGTCGAGAAGTTACTCCCTTGGTGAAGCTTTGCGGGAACAGACCAATACAATGGACCTGCTAGAGTAGAGCTGAACGAGGAAGGGGAGGAGGCAAAGGAGGAAAGGAATGGTGGACATGGAGGAGGAGGAGGAGTGGATAGACGGGCAAGGAGCAGTGGAGGAAAGGAAAGGTTGAAGAGGAGGGGTGGAGCGGAGAAGGAAATGCATAAAGGGGAAGTAATGGAGGGGTGAGACTGATGGAAGGAGAAAGAGACGAAAAGATGAAGAAGATGTGATGAGGGGAGGAGAAGGGGTGAAGGAGACAGTAATAGGAGGAGAATGCGTGAAAGAGATGAGGAAGAGGGAGGAGAATAAGAAAGAAGAAGGATGAGGATGGAAGAGGAAGGACAAAGCAGTGACTAAAGAGAGAGAGAGGGAGGGAGGGAGGAGGTAGTCACAGAGGAAAGTGAGAGGACGGTGGTAGACAGAGAGGGAGCGAGATCAACATGATTCAGTAACGTGGCCCACGTCAGCATGGCCCTCGTCAGCATGGCCCGCCTCAACGCCACACACCCATTACGTAAGCTTTGTCACCCACACAATACACATAGTTAAGCCACGTAATAAAGCCGACTGTTGGTGCTGCGGGAATTACACTGGCATAGTGGAGGGTGTTAGGAGGAGACAGTGAAGAGGACACGGGTTCGAACTCCCAAGAGGGTTGTTGTTATTGGTAGTGGTAGTGGCAGCGTGAGGTGATAGTTGACAGAGAACAAGGGAGGGGGCCCCGGCAGCAGATAGCATTTCCACGGATTCGATCCCCACTCATGCAGTTATAGGTTTGGGTATCTAGTTATTCAGATGTTCTAAAATATTCAACAATAAATAACTTACATATACTTATTCAAAGACGTAGTTTCAGATTGACCGTCTCACTCTACCTCAAAAGTCTCAAGTTATTTAATGTTTCATCTCAGACACGAACTTCCAATTAACACAAAGAGGAGAAGCACTATTGAATCTTTCTAATAAAAATTAACCTGCCTTCTGAAAGTTGTAATGGCCTCCACTCCATGGATAGATGAAACTTAGATCAAAGTTGGTAAAAGAAAACTTAAAACTTTCACTAGTGAATTTAATATTTCATTATTCGCATTATTCATTTATCGGGCATTTAACTGTTTATTAATAATAATAATATTATTATTATGAGTCAATAGGTTAATGCAGACTGTATCTTTGCACAGTACACCTGAATATCCGCAACGTAACCCAGAAACAGATACAGCTGCCATGTTCACACCTCCTTAACATATTTTACAAGACAAACGCTAAGGTATTTAAACTAGGCATACATAACGACAATGTTGTAGGTCAAATTGTTACAGGTCATGACATAATGCAGCTTTGTAATGATCATCTTCATATTTAGCGTACATCTATCTTGGTCCAGTAAGTTTATATAATGTATATAGATTCAGGTCCTCGTTCAAACACCGAAGGCAATTTTTGTTCATTCGCTTCTATTCACTTTCCGGGGTGAAGGATCAAATGGTCGCAAGACACGGATGTTTTATCGTCTGTTATTGCTTCATATTTTAACCAATTTAGGCACGACTGTGCACAAAGTCACTTTTTATCACCAACCACTAACACATGCACACAGGATGACCATTTATTTTGATGGTGTAACTGTCAGAGGTAAAAAGTAACTGGAAGAGACTGACTGTATTCCCTGGTGAATGTGGGCGTTTCCAGTCTTTAGTTAAATATTTCCAATACTTCCTATGACAGTGACACATACGTCTAAAACATATCGCTTGAATGATAATGAAGAGTTATAATGATATCTGGCTGTTATTCTTACACCAAAAACTGAATAAACGAAAAAAATACTATTGATATCAGTAGAGGGAGTGATGGCAGACCTTCTGACACCCTGGTAGGAACACTAGACTGGCTATGTCTCTAACTAGTAATACTATAGAGGTTTACAGGACGTACAGTATAATAAACACAGGGGGTATTTAAGCTACGACTGTCATATCCTTGAGTGATTAACCCTTTAAAGGGCAGAGTAGCCTTTAGCGGAAAAATTATTTGTTAGTCTACAGAATTCAGTATTTTTTTTTTCAGGTTCACATAAAAAGATGCCAAATATTTTTCAACAATTAATTTAAGTTACCGTTATACTGTATTTCCATTCTGTTTGAAGTTGAATTGCTTTTGTGCAAAATTTCCTCTAAAAGACAAGTCAGCGGATCCTGTTCCAATAAAACTATTTATTTCCACGTTCTCATTTTATTCCCGTAACACTGGCATCCACTCTAAAGCAACAATGGTCATATTAAAGCCACGTTTGTGTGTCAGCAAAATTCAATTCTGCTGAAAATAAGCTAAACCGCTTCGCTTCAAAAGTTTTTAAGAAAAATAACATTGCCCTGAGAAAACGGGTAACAGATCGCTAAACTCCCAAACGTAAACACAACAATTCATCGCTCAGTAAAGGTCCGTGGTCCACGCACACAATCACCTTATTTTATTAAATCTTACCAAATACATTGAACATTGTATCAAATTTTGTCGTAATTCAGTAAGATTCGATAATACTTAGTGACCTTGCGAGAACGTGGGAGTTTCCTTGAGGCCGTCGAGGTCCAGTCTGCCGCCCATTCTCACTGTATCAGACCATGGATTAATATTCCTTGTTTACTTCACCACTGTTCGGCATTTAAGCAGTTGATCAATATGGATTACATTAATATTACCGGTGTGGCGTTCTCTATTTCATGGAACTTAGTGTCGAATAAGCGGCGGTCGCTTGCTTTGTCCTGTTAACTAACGAGAGACAGCGAAAATTAATTGGTGCTGTTTGTGCTGGCGACATTCACAATTTCACCGTTATACAAGCAGATAATTACCGTGATGACCACACAACAACAACACCTCTCATGTGTATTTTCGTTTTTTCGACTTAGAAATATGTAAACTATAAATTGATGATACTAACCGAAAAAAAAATGCGTTTGAAAATTTCTGAATCTGTCTTGACGGATGCTACTCTCTCTCTCTCTCTCTCTCTCTCTCTCTCTCTCTCTCTCTCTCTCTCTCTCTTTCTCTCTCTCTCTCCTCTCTGCTCGTGCTTCATTCTGCGTTCCTTCTATAGAAAAAGAAAAGGTGAATCCAAGGTCAAATAGGGATAGACCGGGTACAGTGTGGCCAGCAATACACTCTACCGTCCCTAACTGTTAACTTAAGTGCCTAATCTCAGTTGGGTGAAGTAAGGGTAACACCGAGCACAAAGCCCTAAACTATACGACAGGAGTGCAGTGGCCGAGTGGTTGTATCCACTCGGCCACTGCACTCCTTCGCTTTATTGAGTTACATGGGAAACTCTTTGACAATGGGACTATCGAAATTGAAGAAAAAAATTATCTTTCTTTACCGGAGATACTTTTTACTACACCAACTCTCTTCCTTTCAAGAGAACTTATCTACTCAGAGGATACCGCTAAATCCCTATTAGAACAACAACAACAACAACAGCAACTACTACTAAAACTACTACAACAACTACTACTACTACTACTACTATTCCCCGTGGATGGTTGTGGTGAGAGGGAGTGTTTTCATTACCCCCGGCAGCTGGGGCCTGTGTGTCAGCGATAACAAGGGCAAGGATTCATATTTCATTCACACAGCCACCGAGAGGTATTCTTTTCGCATGTAAATTCGCGTTTTAGGGAATCTTTCTTATACCCCCCCACAGGTGAAGGAGGAAGATTAACTCTCTTTACTTTAATGAATTTGAGGAATGAGAAGGAATGTTAGGGTAATATAGTATGATGAAATATGTTGTTTTATGTTGGTGATGTATGTTAACGGTGTGTGTGGGAGAGAGAGAGAGAGAGAGAGAGAGAGAGAGAGAGAGAGAGAGAGAGAGAGATAGAGAGAGAGAGAGAGAGAGAGAGAGAGAGAGAGAGAGAGAGAGTTAATGGCTTTAGAAAGTAAAAAACTTTCCTTATTGGGCAAAAACAACTGTAACATTTGAAGGCTAATAAGACTGTTATTACGTTTATTGTCCGTGTTTACTTTTCTACCACTTATTACATGGTTTCTCTCGTATTTCACGGATTTATACCACATAATACATTTTTTTTTATTCTCTGGACCACCTTTATAATTATCTAACTTCAGTACTCTCACCACATAACCTAACCTAACCTACAGATGAATACACCAGTCATATCTTTCTACCGCTAACACCTCCCTCCCTCCCTCCCTCTCCTCACCAGGGTCGGCGGAGGTGGTCAGCCTGAGGTGGGTGCTGGAGGGGCAGGATGTGGACACGACGTGGGCGGCGGCAGAGAGAGGAGTGGCCATCAACCAGTTGACTCTGAGTAACTTGAAGGAGGAGCACCGCAACGCCCACCTCACCTGTCGTCTCACCACCCTCGACCCCGCCCACGACCATGTTGCTCTCAATATCACGGATGCCTCCACCTTCATTACAATGTACTGTGAGTTGTTACAGTGTGTAATAATAATAATAATAATAATTAACGGTTTATTGAAAGAGCTTGAAGGCTGAAAATATACAGTTACATATTTGGGGAATGGGTTACGAATTACAAATAATATACAAGTGACATAAGTGACACAAATAAGACATATAGTAACTTAGATGTATAGTAACTTAGATGGGGATCAGCTCAAACTACAGTTCATTTCAACATAGTGACAGTGTAGGGAGCAGTGTTTACTGGGAGTGAATACACTGATTTATTACATGTTATTGATAATTTTTACAATGGTTGGGACTGGGCTGTTCTTATAGCGATCAGTTCGTGCACGTATGGGCTGGATGCGGTTGTGGTGTCGAACAGCAATTCTCGGACAGGGGATCTCAGGTGGTAGTAGGGGCCGGTGTCGGGGATGGTGTAGAAGCTTCTTACCAAATTTGCAGATGAGGCCGTGGTGATGGTCAGTGAGAGTCGAAAGGGTCAGTGTGTTGAGCGCTTCTTGATATGTGGTGTAGGAAGGGGAGAGAATAATCTTGCATGCCCTCTTTTGCACTTTTTCTAGGTGTTTACGTTGTGTGGCATTTAGAGAGGAAGACCAGGTGGGGGAGGCATAGGTGAGCTTGGGAAGTATGAATGTTGTGTATACACTGAGGAGCTCGTGTGCGGGAACTCCGAGGGACTTGAGTCGGCGGAGGAGGTGGAGACGGAAACTGGAGGATTTGACAACTTCACTGACGTGTGGTTTCCAATTTAGTTTGTTGTCTATGGTGACGCCGAGGAGCTTCGTGGAATCTACAACCTGGAGTGTGTTCGGACCTAGGGTAATGGAGGGAGGTGGGACAATGTCGGAGGAGAGGTTGATGTGCATAACCATGGTCTTGGTATGGTTGATGGTGACATGGTTGTTGGTGGCCCAGTTTTGGAGACTGTTCAATAAATCCTGAAGGGCGGTATAGTTGGGAGCAGAATTGTTGACGCTGATCCCAATGGTGGAGTCGTCGACATATTTCCAGCGAGCAGGGGTTTCTCTTAGGGCATCATTGATGAGCATAAGGAAGCAGAGTGGTCCCATCTTGGTGCCTTGGGGACGCCACAGGTGAGTGACTGAAAGGTGGAGACAGCCCCTCGGAAGCGTACAGCTTGGCGTCGGTCACTGAGGAAGTCTGTAAGCCATGGTATGAGATTTCTCCGAAGCCGAGGTCAATAGTTGTGGAATTCCGTCACATCAATGCTGAACCCAATTAATTTGACCGAACCTCTGGGCAATACTAGGGAGACTCATCTGACTTTGGGCAAATGGAACTAGGAGCAACATCTGTAGGTCTTGTTTAGTGAGCAGTATCCATATCTTCTACCGGAGCTGTTACTAGTATCTTAGCAGAGTTGGCTGAGTTAGTGAGTCAAGTTGGTAGCCTCTCGATACTTGGCTTTACCAGTATACTATTTCACTCAAAACTTTCCTGTGTGTGTGTGTGTGTGTGTGTGTGTGTGTGTGTTTTGGTCATTAGTAAACACAACATCAGGCTAACTATACAATTCCATCATCCTTACTGGCCTCACTTTTCATCATCCTGTAATAATCGACTGAAGGATAAAAGGTTTTTCCCAGATATTTTACAGTCTTGTCCTTAATGACCCTACATACAGGAAGAGATAAAAATACCACGAGTGTGTATTACTCTATTCAGACCAACACCCCAACGAGTAGCACCAACTTCTGGGCTACTATACGTGGGTTGCAAGTTTGAATCCCAAGTTTGAAATTAGGAGCAAGTTTGAGAGAGACTATAGGGGATGGGGGCAGTGTGGGTGTTGTAAGAAGGGACTGGGGGCAGTGTGGGTGTTGTAAGAAGGGACTGGGGGCAGTGTGGGTGTTGTAAGAAGGGACTGGGGGCAGTGTGGGTGTTGTAAGGAGATAAGATAGGGGCTGAGGGCAGTGTGGGTGTTATAAGGAGGGAAGATAGGGGGTAAGGGCAGTGTGGGTGTTGTAAGGAGGGAAGATAGGGGATAAGGGCAGTGTGGGTGTTGTAAGATAGAGGCTGAGTGTTGTAAGGTAGGGGCTGGGGGCAGTGTGGGTGTTACTGTAAGTAGTTTAAAGGCAAAACTGTTAGGACTAAATAGAGGCAGTGAAGTATATTATAAGACTGAGCAGAGAAAACTTGAGGTAAAGGTGAGAAGAAGTAATATATTAGACACAGTTAAAGAATTATGTTTCTTAAAAAAAAAAAAAAAAAAAAATATATATATATATATATATATATATATATATATATATATATATATATATATATATATATATATATATATATATATATATATATATATATATATATATATATATATATATATCAAGAACTAGATATATGAAACTTGTAATGTTCTAGCAAGGGAAAATTGTCAGGAATAAGGTATAAAAACAAAGTGTATATTAATATTAAAAGACACTAAAGGCAGCTTGAAGGTGTTAATACCATAAAGGGGTCGGAGGCTACATAGTGTTAAGTTGTATTAAAAGTGAAAAGGGTAAAGATTATACACAAGATCCACATAAGACAACAATCGATTTCTAAACATTAAATTTGGGATTTTTAGTCTCAGTAAGTTGTGTTGGAACTTTCTTACATATTTACTTCTATGATACTAATTAATTTATTATACAGTTATGATATTAATTTATTTTATTATTCACTTTAAGAGCATCAACTAGCCCCCCGCGTAACCTAACCTAATCTAACTTAAGTATTAGGGTTGGCTACTGGGAACCCTTACGATTGGTGCTCATCAGGATTTGGGTCACTGCCAGTCACCCTTGTAACTAGCATTATATTTCACCTAACTCTGACAGTCCTGTATAGTCACTCTTCCTCCTCCTCTCTCTCAGCAAAAGCGTAAGCCAGAGTTAATTATTATTATTATTATTAATATTATTATTATTATTATTATTATTAAGCTCACTATAATATCACTAATTAAAGAATTATTAAAAAACAACGATAACTTAAAAAAAAAAATATATATATATATATATATTACATTTTATATATAACTTTGAAACACATCACTTCACAACAACAACAATTTGAGTAATAAACAGGATGTACACAACACATCTCCCACTTTCAACTTAGCAATGCTCTTCTTAATTAAATGAAAAAGAATTTAGTAGCCAGCCCCCGTGTCCGTAAGTCTGGCCAGATATTTTTCATAGGAAATTGGACAGTCATTGCTGGCCTGCTATCATTTAATGGAATATAAACTACCAGTATCAGGGAGGTTTTCATCGCTCCTCCTACACTCTGGGTTTACCTGGGAAAGATTTTTTTTTTTAAATTTGGATCATAATTCTTAAGTGGATCTTTTTCCTTTTATATTATTTTCATGTAGGATTTACACCACAACCACACATACATACATACACACATACATACATACATACATACATACATACATACATACATACATACATACATACATACATACATACAGCTCACAACAACATGCGGTAATGTTGTTACAACGGGAACATTTATTATTGCAAGTCACGATTAACAATTTACAATATATATGTAAATGAATTCGTTTGATCTTTTATGATGATAGACACAAAATGTTCAGCTCCAACTTTTTTTCCAGGCTCACCTGGTGCTTTAATGATCCACTACACAACGTTGAATAATGTACAGATATAAAACTCAATTAGGGTCGTCTACACCTACTTATCAGTGTCTTTGTTTATTAGGATTTTTTTGTTTGTCGTTATTGTTGTTTTTCTTTGATTGGTTGGTGTTAGTGACAGGTGTGGTAAGTCTTACCTGTCACTGCAGATCGTGGCGGCCAGAAGCACATTATAGGCTAAACAAGTTAGCATAAACAGTAACTCTTCCCTGTGGGTTAATGACGTCACATACCCACAGTAAATTTTGCATTGAACATTTATATTTCAAACTAGAGACTTCAATCTCTCATTATTACAAATTGTTGATGACTAGTGTAATTACTCTCCTAGTTACACGCATAAAGACCTTATTTGTTGAAGTGCAGTTATACATTATAGCATCACCACGTGCAGTATATTTGAAAGACTCAGAAATAAAATCTTTGCTGTAGAGTTGGATTATTATACAAATACCTTAACCAGAATATTAGTTTATAATAATAATAATAATAATAATAATAATAATAATAATAATAATAATAATGATAATAATAATAATAATAATAATAATAAAAATAAAAATAATAATAATAATAATAATAAAAATAATAATAATATTAATAATAATAATAATAATAATAATAATAATAATAATAATAATAATAATAATAATAATAATAATAATAATAATAATAATAATAATAATAATAATAATAATAATAATAATAATAATAATGGCTTTCTTTACACTGTTGCCAAAATAGAGACATCCATCGTAATCACCACACTCGTCTCCCTCTCAGCGCACCCATTGTAAAACACCAATACCAAAGGCCACCATTGTCGTCACAGGTTAGCGCCTTGCTTTATTTATACGTTATGGCTCTCAGGCGTGGTAGCGGGGCAAGATATGACCACATAAATATGCATTTGAAGAGCATATTACACCCGCGGGTGGGCAGGAGATCCCTAAATCTCTTTGGCTGCTGATGCAATAGTTTCCAGTCAATGCACATTCATGAAATATCGTTAGGCAATGGTGGCCACGTTAAACACGAACCTCTCACTGTTCTCCCCCGATGAAGCTGGTGTGTTGTGGGCACCTGTGTCTCTTGGCAGCTGTGTTTGTTGGCAGCTGTGTGTGTAGACAACTGGATTTGAAGGTAGCTGTAATTGTATGCAGCTGTATCTATGGTCTGGTGTGTCTGTGAGCAGCTGTGGTTTTTGGCACTTATGTTCATCGACAGCTGTGGCTAAATGTGTGTATATGCAGCAGTATTAGTGGGCAGCTGTATTTTCGGGATACCGCATTTTCAATATTTTCATATACATATTCTCATTT